TTTGTGTTTTTATCTTCGTATCCGTTGCCCGAGAAAGCCGAGAAGCTCGGGAAAGTGGATCGAACGATGCATTTCCGACAGAAACAACGTTCCAACCCGGTGGAAAACAATTTTTCTTTCCAGTTGGTGAGAGCGCGTGTATTTCTTTCCGTTCGCTTAGATCTGCGAGTGCATATTTGATAAAGGTCTCTCCAGCCGCGACAGGTCCCGTCACAATTTGATTACTAACAGGAGCCCATTCCGCTGCTCTCTCACCGGATCGTTCCTCGGAGCTTTTCTGGGACCAATCGGCCTTCCACTTTTTTCGAGGGGGCCCTTTCTTTTTTCTATTTCACTCGAAACGCGGTATTCTACTGCTCCCAGCCTTTCTGTGTTTTTCTTTTCCTCCCTCTAAAGAAATTCTTGTATCTTGTTCAAACTCTACGACAGACACGAAATACTATCTACGCGAGCGATTAACAGCAATTGGGCATAGAATGTGCAACCTTCGTGCCACTTTTAGGCAACCAGTACGCTTGAATTTTTACCACTAAATACTGTTTGCTACATCTTCAGCGTCTCTCTCTCTCGCTCGCTTCGACACTATGTTGTTCGTTCCTTTTTTTCTCCGACCTTCTCTACTGCCTGTCTTATAACGTACATTTATGTATTCGCATTGATAGCGTCTTCCAATCTCACGACCCGGCCCCCTTCTCTCTTTCCAGGTACAGTTTGTTCGCTGGATTTACTGCACATTTGAGCGTAACTTGAGATTCTCAGGTACTGCATTTTCTATGAACCCGCGGCAGCGTTGCTTCAATCACGTTGCCGTGCGTATGCACTTTGTCAGGGGCTCGAGCAGTGTTCAAGCGTCGCCAGATATCACGCACGAAAGAGACAAAAAAAACAGAATTATGAATCCAAACATAAGTTCACGAATCTTTCAGACAGTTCTGATGGAAAGCCGACGTGCGCTGTGCAAGGATCGCAGTTATTATCGAGAAAAGGAGGCTGCAACTATCTCCGGAGACGTCGAAGCCCCATCTAAAGTAGTATATCCGTCGGCTGGTGTTCGCTAAACTGATCTAAAAGGGCAACACGGAGGCTTGGTATTTCCGCAATGCCCGCTTGCATAAGTAAAAACCTCCCTCGGCTTTCTCTCAGACCTTGTTAAGGCAGTAAGTACAGGCCGGCAAGGAAACTTAGGGTCTGAGAAATACAGTATTTCTCTAGAGCTGACTTTTACGCTCTCTCGGGGCAACTCGTTTTAAAAAAACTAGCTCGGGAGTGAAAGAAGTAGGTGAGTGACGTTGACAGAAACACGCAGCACTCTCGTAGGTCTACTATAACTGAATATTTGGCATGGTACACCTGATTATTTAGAGTAACAAGCAAGAACAGCATGGTCACCGAGAACACTATTGCAGCATACCTGAAAGCCAAGCTTTCATTTTGTCTACCCTTATGAGTTTCTTCTTAATAACAAGAAAAGAGGCATGAGTACTTCTTATATTTCTCTGCGAAGTTGTTGCATCGGATATATTACCTGCTACAAACGTACTCGGTCAGCGCAAGACGCAACTAGGTGTATCATGATTTTCTGCAATGTTGTCGAATTTACTCAACAGATCTCATGTACTATTAACATAGTGAAACACAGTATGAAAGGTACACAAGTACTGACAATTATACAGTGTGTTTTCTTTTAGGCAATACCAATTGTTCTAAAAAAAATATGATGAGTAGGCACTTGTCTTCTTCGCCACCAATTTTCAGGCCAAAGCGGAAAATTTTTCACTTAGGAATAACTTAGGAATGAATAATTATTAAAAATATCTGAACAAAACCTTTTTTAAGGGTGGCTGTTTATGTAGCAAAGTTGTTCTACGTCAGAAATAATGGCGGGCGTAGTTTTAAAAATTAAAATTATCGCTCGTCGTTTCTGAAATCATTCATCGAATTGCCAGACCACAGCCTTTTTAATTATTTTGTAACTGTTGGTTTGAAAGCCAAAGTGACCCCATAAAATAATGCGAGACTTTTACGTGATCTTAAAGAGTTTTAGGACACAAAGACTTGACAATTTTGAACTAAAAAGTGCAGATACAGCCAAAAATGTGTTGAGACAGATCAATCTGTCGCCACATCTGCCTAGTGGCCGCAAGCATGTTGATATTAGTGTTGTAAGTTGTATCTGCAGCAATAATTTTCTCAAGCGAACCGTTTGCGCCTGCTTTTAGTCATTAAGCTGAATGCACTCGTAGTCTTCCTGTAACGTTACTGCAAGATGAAGACAGGAACTGATCAATGCGATACTCTTTCAGTATAGCGAAATGTGGCAAAGAGTAGCGCGTTCAGATCAACTGCCTTCATGCGGTCGTTCCTATAAATTCGGTAACCTTGTAATAGCTTGCCCTGCATTCTGATGAATTTATAGAATAAATAAACGGAAATTCTTTCCAGCTGTTTCAAGTTCTTTAGCTATTCCAGTTTCTCCCGGTGGGGATTATTATTCTTTCTTGAAAAATATTTGGTACTTCGAATATCTACAATTCCATTTCAGTACCGAATCGAATGATATGCTAATCCATACTTTATTTGAAATGATAAAACATTCGCACAGTGCTACTCTTCACACGTTCGATAATATTTCAAAACCTTTTTGGACTTATGGTCCAGCAGGTTCACGAAGAGGCAACGACGCAAAACCTAGGCGTCCCGACATGGGATACCTGAGCTTATGTAACCATAGAGCTGCCTGAACAATCAAATTGTTAGCAGCAGATGCCACAAGCCTGTCTACAGAAAACTGTCTTGTCATGAAGTCCGATGTACTTATTTATGTATTTATTTATTTATTTAGTTGTTCATTTATTGGTTGATTGATTGTTTGATTGGTTGATCCATTGATTTTAAACCAACCAATGAAACGTTTAGGCTGTGAGCATCACCCGAAATAAAGCTTTGGACTAATTTCGCAAGCGGGACTTGTTTAACATGCGCCCAAAGCTAAATGCGCGAGTACTCCTTTCGTTTAGAAGGCAATAAAAGAGAGTCACAGTGGCCGAGAGTTGAACTGGTGTCTTTTTGCATAAGAATACACGATGGCATTCAGCCACCATAGTGGTCGTTCGCCACAGTGGACGAGTTGTATGCTGCACCATATATTCCGTTATGCAGAGTATTTGCATTACTGAACTGTACTCCGCGCAGCGATCGCTCCACCCGCCGTACACCAAACCCCGCATTGAATTTCGTAGAATGATAGAGCCGCGCACCAGCCTGCGTGTGCCCTGATGAAGCGGTAGGCATCCACCGACTCCCCTCGCTCGAGGTTTCCAAATCCATCTCAATGGGTGAGGCAACCCGCCAGTCGCGATCGTTTCTCATGTCGCGAACCGCATTCACTCCCGTCTCGTCCCGTATGCGCGAGCTCTCCATTCCGGCTGTGGGCGAGAACCGCCACACCGTAACCAACGTAATCGAGTGGCGCGCAGAACACGGGGAGCCCACTCGATCAACCATAGCATTTGGTACAACAGAGCTCCCACCAAGTACGCACTCCCCTGGTGTTACAACCGTGCGTAACAAATTCAAATGGACTTGTTCGGCACGGCTCTCTCTCTGTCTCTCTCTACCCCATCTTTTTTTTCTTGGCGCGTCACCACACTTCGACAGCAACATCTTTCTTCCTGGCATATTGTGGGGTGGAATGGCCGATCGAGAGTATAAATCATCGGTAATGCGATGCTGCGGTGTCACCGAACTGAGTAGAATGAGACAAGATATGAGCAGGCGCTTGTAGGCCAGAAAAAAAAGAAAGTGCCAATGAATCGGTTTATCGTGTTACATCTGCCACAAATGGTAAGCAAATAGTAGCTGCTAAGTTTTACAACTCGGAGGAAATAGCGTTTTCTGATTGAATCCAAGAAGGCACGCAATTTTGGAATAACTGTGTCACCATGGCTTTGCTCCAAAAAAAGGATAGGGCAGTCGGCGCGCACGCAAGCCGAAACTTGCGCTTGTCGATCAGCAACCGGTAAAACATCAAAAACCGTCGAAGATGTGGCTACCAAGGGAGCTGCCAGGCCAGCGCAAAACTGCACAAGGAACCGACAGCGATTAAGCATTGTGCTGGTGCTGCTGTCACCTTCCCCACTCATCTATCTATCTATCTATCTATCTATCTATCTATCTATCTATCTATCTATCTATCTATCTATCTATCTATCTATCTATCTATCTATCTATCTATCTATCTATCTATCTATCTATCTATCTATCTATCTATCTATCTAGCCGCCTACGACTTTCAGCTTTCCTGGCCGTTTCGATAATGGTATCGATACCAAACTTGGTATCGCGGAACATGACTGCATGAAGAACGTATTCGACTAGTCATGACATGAAAATCACGACATGTATGTTATGAATGTCATAATTTACATTTCATGGTGCTCCAGCTCTTGTGGTGGCTTCGTTCACATGGCATGTTGCAAAACCGGTATGGTATGACATGATTTCATGGCGAACACAAGCGACAGACCCTAACAAGAAAATCATGATATGCATGTCATGTAACAACACGACTGCATGCCACGCTCATGTTGAGCTTGCGGCCGTTTTTCTAGCGTCACATATACCAAATTTGGTATAACATTACGTAAAGGGATGACGAAGGTATGATACTGGTGCAAACATGATAAACATAAAACGCGTATCTTGTAAGAACATGGCAACATACCACGCTCACTGCGTGCTCGCGGCCGTTTCGCTAGCTCCACATATACTAAATTTGGTGTGACGTGACGTCAATAGATGACGAAGGTAAACGACACATCTAAGCATGATGATCATGACGCGTAAGTCATGTATGGCATGATTTACCTTCCCCTCGTAACCTTGTGCTGATTTTGAAGTGACATATCAACCTTTCTTATTCGTGCTTCGCATATCATTGATTCCCACTGTACGTGGGATCTGCAAATTGTTTTCTCGATCTTTATTTCGTGACTTCACAGACGCCCTGCTGAGCGAAGGTCAGGCTGGCACGTTCGACTTTGTGTTCATTGACGCAGACAAGGAGAACTACGACAAATACTACGAGAGGTCTCTGCAGCTGCTCAGGAAAAATGGCCTTATCGCCATCGACAACGTCAGTATGCCAACGTTGTGCAGTGCTAGACAGTAATTTTGCAGAACGCGAACTCGATGACGAGAATAGCATGCCATAGATCACGATAGGACTAAGTCTTTATGCTGTATTCTAACTATAAAAAAAAGGCGCTCTCATGGCGCCTGGGCTTTCGAATTATTAGGTTTATCGACTAGTGGGGTTGTTGAAGTATTTCGGATTGTGCCCCCTGGAACAACTCCGGGTCCTGGGAGATGGTTTCGTCCTTTTATTTTCTTAGTGATATGATAATCGATTCGAATAAGCACTCTCCAGCCATGTTTAGTCTATAGTTTTGAAATTAAAGACTGGCCCTACATTTCGAAACCGATTCGGTCTCTTCTTCAGGGTGTGACTGCCCGGCCGTCTCAGAAGCTAGTGTCCCGCCGTTCTTGATGCGGCGTTCTTTTCTCCATTTTCACGTAGAAAACAACGCAGCAACAAGGATGACCGGAAGAACAATGGTGGAGAGGGGGACAACCACTAAGAATAGTCGCTAGCTTCGGAGCCGGCAGGACAGTCACCCCCTGAAGAAGAGACCGAACGGGTCTCGAAACGTAGGATTAGTTTTTAATTTTAATATTAAATCTATAGGCTAAACTTGGCTGGAGAGTCTGCTTGTTTGTGTGTTTTTTATCTAGTCAGACAGATCTCTGTCAAACAGGTTTACGTTTAAAGAGACAATGGGGCATTGTACTCAGAGCGCCACTCGGTGGTTACAAATTTAGACGAAGTGAAAACATAGAAATTTTAGGTATACATATTGTTTGAAGCTTAACTAGTTGTCATGCACATTCTATGGGATAACAAAACTGCACATACGAACGCGTGTGCGTGTGTGTGCACTGTTGTTGGGAAGTGTGGAGAGGTAAAAAGTGGTTGTAAGGAGTTTTTCACGAAGAAGTCGGCAAAGCTGGCTAGAGGGTGCTGAGTTGTCTAGAAGTCGACTTCTGGGACGACTACTTTCAAAAGAGAGAGAGATAGTGTGAGAGACTGAAAAATACAGAGAGAGACGAAAATATGATTCCAGCTTCAATGTACATGCCGTGTCTGTTACCCACATTGCGCTAAGGGCAAGGGGCGATATATTAAAAAAAATCACAGCATATCCACAGAGTGACTGATGATGAGTGGGGTGAAGCGTCTGTCTGTCTGTCTGTCTGCCTGTCTGTCTGTCTGTCTGTCTGTCTGCCTGTCTGTCTGTCTGTCTGTCTGTCCGTCTGTCCATTCGTCCGTGCGCCCGTACGAGTCTTGCTAAAGAGTAACGTTATGCAGTAGCATGGCACTATTTGGCCTGAAATAAAAGCTGAGTTTATTCTGTATATACAGGAGTGCTAATCTAGGGTGGACTTTTCAAAAAGAGCCGAGATGGCACCTAAACTGCTCATTCGTGAAACAAATAAGCTCGTTTAATAATTATAACAATAATGATATCTGAAATTTGACGTCATGGACCCATGGCTTGGTTTATATGTGGAGTTTAACGCCCCAAAACCACCATGTGATCATGAGAGACGCCGCAAACCCATGGCTTAACTATCAAAAACGCCCAGTGGAGAACTCCGGAAGTTTTGGCAATACGGTGTTATTGAGCGTGCGCACATATCGCACAGCACACGGGCCCTTTATCCTTTCTTCTCCACCAAAATGATACTATTGCTGCTGAAATCCAACCCGTGACCATCGGGTCAGCAGCGGAGCACCTTAACCACTACACCACCGAGGTGGATAACACAGTATAATACGGGATGCTATTTGAAATAGAGTGAGCACAGTGCTAGTGGTTTCTGTTTTAGCGTATAGCGGGTCCAGCGTTTCGGTCATCTCGTACCTTCGAAGAACTACGCGCGCTTGACCAGTGGCCATCTGCATTGTGACAGGTGCTGTGGCGGGGCCTGGTCTACGACCCCAGCGACAGATCAACGGAAGTTGCGGCGCTGCGGGAATTCAACAAGAAGCTACACGAGGACGAGCGGATAGACGTCTGTCTGCTGCCTCTCGCAGATGGGATCACGTTTGCCAGGAAGAGGTGATGGACAGCTTTACAAGACTGTCGTCACCAGTCGCGTTATCGCAATCAATAAAGTGGGATGTCATTTTTGTCAAGAAGCGTCTTCAGAACTAGAGCACTGCAGAGACCATCTATAATATTGAGATGAAAGCCTTAGATGATTCATTGAAAGCGAAAATTGAGCTTCGGTGGTGTCTACGCGGGTGAAGAGAGCAAATCATCTTGACATGACGTCACGTATCACCAGAATTCGTGATGTTATCACGACACGGCATCGTGGCTTGGTCAAGAGAGGGGTGATCACGGAGGTCATGCGAGACCGGGTTAAGTGCAGAAAGTTTGCGATGCCTTCGATCCCAGAGGCAATGTAAAATTACACCAGGTGCAGAACTATATTCGGGAGGGGGGGAGGAGGAAGTATATATGAAGAAAGAAAAAAAGATGGCTTTTGACTTCGAATCGCCCTAAAAAATGCATAAGGGGCCCCGTGAGTTTTCTTCTGTGCTTGCAAAGACGCAAGCTATCTTCGAAAGCAGCGATAAGATCTCATAAACTCAATATCCATAATAAGGCTAGACGAAGAATCACAGCACGCTAATCCGTAAACAAGCTGATCGACGAGGTCAGTCACAGGAGGGGGAAACCGCTGCATCGGTTACATCTTCCCTTATAATACGGGCGTGCACAACGTTCAGCACAATGTTTGTTCCGGTAAGGCGTGCGATCGGCACAGTAACACTGCGAGGATTACGTTACTTGCGCTTTAGTTTGAGTAGCGAATCCAAGCTACAGGTTAACAGTGTCCTCGCGGTATTGCACCGGAAGTAATTACAGATCCAAACAAACCGAGTGCCCCGGGTCTATGTATACAAGAGTACGCAGGCCTTGTTATTGTGCGTCCGCACGAACAAAAGGAAAACAGTCCCAGCGTGTTCTTGTTTACTTGCCTCACGGCTGTCGCGTGTCAGCGTAGTAATTAAATGAAGATGAAGCGCGGACAAAAGGAATCACGCTGCGGTTAATTAGGAAAGCCCCTCCAGCGCACGTGCTCGGAGAGGGATGCGGAACTGTGTGGCAATGCTTGGCCAGATGTTGTTACTGCTTCGTGCTTTGTGCTCGGACCAGTGCAGATTGAAGAGTTGGGCATACGCTCTGCACTGTTGTTTGCCTGTGGTAAGATCTCCTGTCCGGTTCGCTTGTGTGCCATATTAAGTGACAGCGAACGGCGATGGCAGGCTGCCCGCAGGTTTACAAGAGCCGTTCCGACTGGGCATATTCGTTCGGCCGTGTGTTTAGGTGACTCATGTTTGCTATCCTTGTGAAAACACGTTTCGCTCAATACAAAGCAGCATAAAAAAACAACAACACTAAAAAGCCTCCCCACTTTCTCATGACCCACGCAGAATGGTGATTCCGGCATCGCATTTTCGTGTGATCATGTGACTTCCAGTGTAATGAAAGGGACAGCCACCGTCTTTCTCATTACCATGGAAACTGATTTATACTGGACGTTTGTATAACCTCTATGTCTTTATCTTAAACTTTACCGCAGCGTTATCAGGTCCCAATTGTGGCTTATTTGTGGCTTAAGACTGGGTTCTGCGTTTGCGCTTGAACGTATTCTCACTTCTTTTGGCCAGAACGCACTAATCATGTACCTTAGGGAAATCCAGATGGTCAGCATTATCTGGTACCCCTGTGCACGTACGTTCCAGCCTTCGTCTCCAGGACTCAAGCCTCACCACTGTTTGCTGTCTGAACGTCAGAGGAGTATGAACCAAACCCGCCAAACGTCACCGAGCGCCAGCACCAGCGCACCTTGTTATCAACCAGCTCACGACGGCCGAAGACGCTTCCACGAGCTGCTTTTGAAGATGCCGAC